TAAGATGTTTATTTTATATTTGATTATGTTTATCTGCAGTTAGTTGCACGAATTCAAACATGAAGCTTTAATAAGTTGTACTTATGCATAATTTACTTGTAATCTTAAATTTTAAGTAATATGCATCAATAAACAGTACTTCATGCATAAAAATGGTTTTTAATATTTTTTTTATCAAATACTTTATAATATAACTAGAAAGATACTTGCACAATGCAGCGAGATACATCTCGATTTTAATGTTTTTTTATCAATTGATGTTATAATACGGTTTTATGTGGTTTTGAGAAATCAATAATGTTTTTATTTTTGAACAAAATATAAATATAAAGATATCAAAAAATATTGGAAAAAAAATATTGATATTAGTACGAAACTTACTATTTAAAATTTCTTCTTTTTTATGTATTTCTTTACATTTTTTTGGTGTAATAATATAATCAAGTATTTTTGTTAGAACTCAATGATTATTCTAATTATATTTTAGATTTTGTATATTTAAAATGTGATGTTTATCCTTTATTTGATTATGTTTATCTGCAGTTAGTTGCACGAATTCAAACATGAAGCTTTAATAAGTTGTACTTACGCATAATTTACTTGTAATCTTGAATTTTAAGTAACATTCATCAGTAAACGGTATATCATGCATAAAAATGGTTTTTAAGAATTTTTGTTAAATAGTTTATAATATAATATAGATATAAATAACACGTATAGTGGGCCTTTTAATTTAATGGATCAGGAATTCTTTTTGGAATATGCAATAAGCCCAATGAATTTGGAGTAGGATGGCGATATCGTGGGTTATGATCACCCAAAATAAAATTTGGGCTTGAAGAAACGTCAAGACGTAAAGAAATGGGTTGATCTTGACTTGATTTTAAAGTGCTTTAAATCATTGCTATTTGACTCGGATCTTAACGAGAGTTTATTCAAAATATGTAATGCTTTTAATTTTATTTAACGGATATTATTTTATTATCTTTAAACTTTCTTAATCAGTCAATTTTACTCTCTCATGTTTGTCCATTTTTAAAAGATTTCGTCTTTCTGTCATTGATCTTTATTTTTTTTGTTAATTCAGTTAAATTCGTCTTTTGCCTTTAGTTAATTAATTTTATTTTTAGAATTCTTTTTCTCTCTCTTCTAAGTTACCTCTGTTACGTTTTGTTATGTTACTCTAGAGGAACGAAAATGATGAGTAATTGTGGTTGCTTTAATTTTATTCATTCGTTTTTGTTCGTTTTTTTTTTACGTTCGTTTAGCATATTAACGAACGAACATAAACGAAAACAAAAACGAACACAAACAAACATATTTTCCTAACAAACATACATGAATACAAAAATTTTGTTTGTTGACCTTTTGTGTTCTTTCGATTAAGTTAAATGAACAAACACGAATAAGGCTTCACTCATGTTCGTTCGGTTCGTTTCGTTTGCAGGCGAATCCACGTCTCTTTCTTTTGGAAACATGAGCGAACCATCCCCACTTAACTGCATCATGTGAAAACAGAAGCACTGATGTGACCCAGAAGCGTCGTAAACCCCTCCATCTCCGTGAAACGTCAACCGTCCCACCCAACTCTATCATCGAATTTGGAGCACGTTCAATGTCTGCAATCAAAATTGGAGATGAATCTTTTTGGTACTTGAGATGTGCAATCAAAACCAGAGATGAAGACACTCCAACTGTCCGACTAAACTCTTCTTGATATCTCCATCCCATCTATTAGCCACAGATTTGCACAAATCCCTTGATCTGAGGCTTATGACGGAGTCACTACCATCATTCAGCAATCTGATCCCCGACCCACTTTGGAAGAATCACGTAAAGCGAAACAAGTTGCTGGACACTTATCTACTCCACCTACGGCTTTGATGACGACTTCAGTAGGTGCTCCATCACCACCCCCCACTCTGACTTGAATTCCCACCATATCGCGGACGGGGGATGGGTCGAGGGTACCGAGGCCGCGATGGTCGCCATTGGCAAAACCCACGGCCTCTCGGGGAGTTATTCTAACAGAATTCACGCCCCCCCGTGGCACCAACAGATGCAATATGCACAATGGCAGCCGTCCCCATGGCCATCACCACCATGACAATATCCGACGAATGGTTCTTCCATACCTTTGTGGACTACCCGCCAACCACCATAACCGCCGCTTCCTTCGGCAGTCCCGGGTGTTTTTGGTCCATGATCTCTACAAACATACAATGTCGAAACCGCCTCCAATTATATTCCGACAGAAATTGAGTCCGCTTTGCACACAAATGACGCTACAGCCCTCGAATAACCAGTGGTTCATGGATACGGGTGCCACGTCTCACATGACTTCGGATCCAGGTACATTTTCTCATGTTAATAAAGCATTAAATCATCATATTATAGTTGGTAATGATCATTCTCTTCTATTACGGATACTGGTATGATGTCCTTTCCTTCTTCTTATCCTCCATTTACTTTGACTAATCTTCTCCTTGTTCCTGATTTAATTAAGAATCTCGTTTCTGTAAAACAATTCACAAAAGACAATTCAATTTCAGTCGAATTTGATCCAACTGATATTTCTGTGAATGATCTGATACAGGGTACCATTCTAATGAGATGTGATAGTCACGGTGATCTTTACCCACTCCAGCCAAATCTTCATCACATTCCCTCCGCGTTTGCTGCTTTTTCCTCTTCTCGTTGGCATGATCGTTTTCGACACCCCGACGATAACATTTTGAGCAATCTTATTTCTAGTCGTTTGATTTCTAGTCGTTTGATTTCTAGTGTGAAGTATGTCTTTTTCGTCTATTTTTCATTCATGTCAGTTAGGCAAACATAATCGGTTACCATTTTTCCCGTGTATAAGAAAGGTGGATTGTAGGTATTTCTTTCAAATCATGGGGTTTGACTAATAAGATTGTCTTATCTTGGATGACACTTTTTGAAATCTATAACTAACCAAATGATAAAAATCTTTATCTTTATCTTTATATATTTATAAAGAAAAACTTGGTTATTGAGATGAAACCATGAGAATTGAGTACTCTCAAATGGTGAATTATTGTTGAGTTTAATTGTCCTACATTGATGAAGACTTGGAAGATTTGTAGGAAGTGCATTGTGTAAGTAAGTGGAATGAATGCCTTTATGTCAAATTATGGGATTTGCCTTATAGGTTTGTCTTATTTTGGATGACCCTCTTTAAAATCTATAACCATGGTTGGAATCAAACCAACCAAATGGTGAAAACTATAGTGCAAAATTAAAAGTGAAACCAAGCATCATGACTTGGCAACATGAGGTTTGAGTGTTCCTAAAATCTTGAAATAAGATTGACTTTCATCATCTCATATTGGTAGAGAGATTAAAGAAGATGATGGATGTATAAAAGCGTGAAAGAGCTTTAAAATCTATAACAATGGTTGAAATCAAAACCAATCAATTCGTAAATATTTGTGTAAAACAAATGCAAATGATACATTTATATAAATTGTGATTACTACAGTACTTATAATAACAAATATAGTTTAAGTATCTATTATATCACTTATATATGCATAGAATGAAAGTGTTGACTTAATGACGTGCTTTCATCAAATTTTAGTACTCTCCAAATCATGCTTTAAGGTGTTGGACGTTGCTTATCGTCAACAATAGATACTAAATGAAAACCATGAAACAAATATCGTCGGTAAAGTTTCGTCAAATAACCATGGATAATTATCAAAAAGCAGATGTTTTCATTTTCTTTTTCTTAAAATTTTCGACCATGTACAGAAAAAATATATAGCGTTAGTAATTCCATCTTGAAATCACCGTTTATTATCGTCATTTTTCCGTTGATACGGAGTTGTCGGAATTCAATGGTTTTCTTAATTATTTGACAAGTATAGAATTTTTTGTTCCATCTAATAACAGTTGGTTATGATCGTCACTGAGGATCTACTGAAGGTTTTATCAGTAAGAGATGCTCTTCGGTTATGTAGTGTGCCATAAGCAAACTTTTGTGGATCCTTAAAAAATAAGGAGCTATACAATTATCGTGTTTTCTTTAATTATATAAAATTTATATACGATAAATACAACAAATAAGATTTTGTTCACCGACTTTAAGGATGATAAAAATCCAAATAGCGATTTGTTCCATTTAACGTGTTTATAGTATCAAAATCAAATCTCATCGTATTCATAATATACCTGGTGATGTGTGTGTGTGTGTATATATATATATATATAGGGTTGGGTTCACGTGAGACCAAGAGTTTTTCGTGAGACCCATAAGACCAATTCTCAACCATTGGATTAGATCTACAATCTGAACATTCATAATTACAAAATTGTCACGAGACTTCTCAATAATCACAAAATTGTTACCGTGCAACTTTAGACTATTAGATCATTAGCTTATAAAGTTGATCAATGAATACGGATCTCACGAAAACCCTTGGTCTCACATGAACCCAATCCCCTTTCTCTATATATATATATATATATATATATTTATTTATTTCGGTTCAAGAGTAATTAATTAAAAATTAGAATGAAAAGTGATTTTGTTTATATTTAATTAAAAGAAAAACCGGGAGATGACTACTAAAGAACAAATGCAATACTTAATAGAATATATACGAGAAAATTACCTACCAAACACATGGTTACCATAATTCGATGTGCACTAACAACTCCAATAAGCTTCTTTATGTTTTAACTTGAAGCATTTCGTAAACTAGCTGGTTGGATCAGACCCAAATTCACTTAATTACCAATCATCGACAATTCGACATGCATAACAACCCTTTTTTTATATATGATTAAGATCTTAACAATTAATATGTATGTAGATTTTGTAATAAGCACGCATGCATGTGAAGGCTCAGATGAATCATGTTAAACGCTTTTAACTCAAGTAGTAATTGATTGATCATGACTCGATGTTTACATCATATATATGTAGAAAAACAAACATACCCAACACACAAGACGACTCAGAACAACACAAATCAAAGAGAGTATCGGATGCCAACTATGTCACTATAAGAGCAGCTAGTCCTAGGTGAACTGTTGGTCACATTGCTACTAGCACCAGCCATTAAGTCGTAGCTTGGGTTTGAATCGTATAAACCGGTCATGGACGCTTCCTCGTCGTCCATCAAAGATGGCGTCGGGTAGTTCACGATTGCTGACAGGTCGTAACCGTTCATCGTCTCCCATGAACTTTCACTGCCACCCCATATATCACCATACACCTCTCCTTCGTTAGAAGGGAAAAGTTGGTTGCTTTGATCCCAGTATGAACATTGACCTGTTGGATCACCAGGACTTATATCTACGTTGTTGCCATGATTGCTTCTAGGGTTTAAGTAGTCATCAGGTACAATGCAGCCAAGGTAACCAGAGTTGTCACCTTCACTCATGAAGAAGTTACGGTGATCATCAATGGAGGACTGGTAGCAGGTGTCAAGACCTGATTGGTCGGGGTTCTGGGGGAGAACAGTAGGGTTGATTGGTTGTTTAGTGGAAGTAGCTTGGTGATGAGCAGGTGGTGTATTGAAGAGTTGTGCCGGCTGGAATAAGGTTTGTACATCAAGAGGGGAGATGAGCGAGTGGAAATTGGTGTTATCATGATCAGTAGCGTAGATGAAGTTAGTTCTTGCTTGGGTACCCTTCATGGAAAGGGCAGCCCTATCATAGGCAAGGGCAGCTTCTTGGGCAGTGTCAAATGTTCCAAGCCAATGCCTTTCTTTGGTGGTCGGGTCTCTTATCTCCGCCGCGTACCTGCCCCATGGCCGCCGCCTGACACCGAGGAACCGCCCTGGCTCCGCCTCCTTTTTCCTGCCTCTTCTTTCTGTTGGTTGAGGAATGGAGGTGTTCCTTTGCAGTATCGTAAACCCCATGTCAATATGAGAGTTGGTTTCAAGGGATTTTAGCTTGCTTGAAGATTTTGAGGTGGACATGTTCTTGTATATATATATATATATATGGATAAAGCAGAGAGATAGAGAGAGGGCTAAAAGAGCAATTCAAGTGGTAATGACATTTGCCTCAAAGTGACGATTCCTTATAAAGGGTCAAGAAAGAAGGGGTTGGGTAGAGAGAGAGAGAGATCTAGAGATATATATATATATATATATATTGTGTGTGTATATATAAATGTATACACATTAAAAGATGCACTATTGATTACAAGATATTGATCCACTAATAATGACTACATTCGTCCCTAATAATCTGCCTTTACAAATCTAGTTTCATACATATATATATATATATATATATATATATATAATGATATTTTATCATATTGTTTTCAGTTTATGTTTGTATTAGTGTTTTTCTAAAAAGGAACATATATGGATTATTGATTGAAAATTGAATCAAAACATCGGATGGATCTGATTTGATTTAATAGATAAACAATAATAATATCCAACTGATGAAACCATTCAAAATTATCATCCAATTAATGGGATCGGATCAGATCAAATCGGTTGTTTAAAGTTAACTAGATTGAATCAAGTGACAAAATTTGACATTTAGTGGATGATTTGATCAAATCAGATCCACCTAAATCTATTGGATTTCAACGAATGAACACCCTTTATCTCCAACAATTTTATACTAGATTTTTCGAAATCTCCAAAAATAAATTACATCCAAATTCAACAATTTTTTTATTTAAGGACTTAAACATTGATTATATTAATTAAATATTTAAAAATATAACAAAATTATTTTTCTCTCTTTTTCCCTTTAGTTTTATTGGTTGGATGCAGATAAATGTTTTGGAAGTAATAATAATAGAGGTTTTGGAGAATTTTTGGGAGAAGAATCCTCCCTCCATTTTGGTGATGTTGTTTGCAATTTGTTAAAACATTTATATGGCATTTGTCTTGAAATAAATATAGCATTTTACTTCTTATCTAAGTTTTGGAATTCAAATTGAAGATTTGTTTACATTTAAAAATAGTTTATATATATATATATATATATATATATATATATATATAGGGGTAAGATCAAATGTTAACCAAAGTTTTTGTGTTAACTTTGTTAACTGATCTTAGCCATTCAATCTTTCAATAAACGGTTGTGATTAATCATGATTAAAACTTATTTTTTTAAATTTAAAATTGAATAAAGATAAGTTAACAATGTTGAAAAGGGTATTTAGGTAAAAAAAAAATGTAACTCCCATATCATTAATTAATTGGGAGTTACAAAATCAAAATTCTATGATTTTTTTGTTAATTTATTTTTGTTAATATAAGAACCATATGAACACAACTATATATATATGAACCATTGTGTCAAATACGAACAAAAAATTGACATATATATGAACTTGGACTGCATAGCATTTATAAACAGAATATGAACATAATAAGAATAACTGTTATACGAAAGAAAATAAATAAAAAAACATGTATGAACACTATATGAACAGCTTATGAACAATAGTTCCTTCATTATAAACACATTCAGGAGCGATCATTTGTCAATTGGAGTTTTATACATGCATTGCATCCACACTGTTTAAGGTTTACCCCTTGTTCATATATGTTTCTGATCTTATATGGTTGTTCACCTCTTGTTCTTATCCTGTTCACCTCTTGTTCATATCGTATAAAATATATGAACACATAACCCCAACGCTATGAACATCGGGTGCAAACATTTACACAAATATAAAGATTTGGTATCAAGCTTAAAAAATAACATTTGTGTTCATATGATAGAAGTAACATGAACACAATGGTTCATGATTYATAAAAGTCGGTAATATGACAATATGAAAATGGTCGTGCATGTATTTCCATTTGAACATGTGAATTAGGTACGTATTTTAATAATTAAAGAAAAAAGATATCAATACAAGATGAGTTATAAAAAACACAACAAATCGTAATGAACATAATTTCGATTAAAACAAATCTAAAAAAATAAAAATCTATTACCAAGACATTTGCTTTGGTTAATTTCTTCAATTCCCGGCCTCGAACTCTGATTGTCATCATAAACCATTTTAATTTTCTCACTGTTGTCGATTTATTTTCCATTGTGTTTATCTATATTAGCTTGATCGATACCGAAAATTTTTACTACCGTGTTTTCTATGCGAATTAAAAACTGATAGAACAATAAACATGGAAGATCAAAATTAAAAAAAATTATTAATATTATAAATGTATATTTTTTGGGATTTGATGATTTGTAACTCCCCATTAATTGTTTGGGAGTTACATATCAAATAAATTTACTGAAATACCCTTGTAATTAAAATGTGAGCATGACATAAACCTACAAGAAGAATGAAATTTGATTGGTTGTCATGGTTTTCAAAGTTAACACAAAGTTATTGGTTAACATTTGAACTTGACCCTATATATATACTTGGGATCATATGATGCCAGCATGTTTTCGTGAGACGTATGAGGTTACCTTTTTATACTTGAAATTTCATAGTGTTTTGCTGTGAATGTTCATATTTATTTACTATCACAATATTTTTTTGTGAAATTTCAAGTGTAAAAATGTGGTTTCATGAGTCTTATGAAAACAAGTTGGTCTCACATGCACCCAACCACGTATATATATATATATATATATATATATATATATTAAAAATATGAATTAGATAAAAGTATGATTTTATTTTATGGATTTAAAAAAAATTATGAATCAAAAGACAATATTGTGAAAAAGGAAAGAAATGAGTGGAAGATTTAATGTCACAAGAGGTAGTCATGATGAAGTAATGTTGGATTTAGAGAAGGACTATGAATTCATGATTGGAATACATGAACCGTATGATTGATTCATGGGGATTTGAGTTTTAAACATAAAACTATACATATATAATCATATATGAATAAATATCTAAAAACATTGATCTATCATAAATCTACTCATTCTAAAAAATATCAATTAATGTATTTAATGATTATCTATATTATATTATAAAGCATTTGACAAAAATTCTTAAAAACATTTTTTACGCGTAAAGTACTGTTTATTAATGTATATTACTTAAAATTCAAGATTACAATTATATTGTGCATAAGTACAACTTATTAAAGCTTCATATTTTAATTCGTGTAACTAACTGCAGATAGACATAATCAAATACAAGATAAACATCTCATTTTAAATATAAAAGATCTAAAATATAATTAGAATAAATATGAGTTTTAACAGAATATTTAATTATTATCTTTATATAATGTTATATTATTAAACAAAAATAAATTATTTCATTATTAAACTTAAATTATATTATAATAAAAATAATAAATTACATAAAAATGAGAACTTTTAAATAGTTGATTTGATATTAAAATTAATATATCTTTTTTTTCAAATTTATATTTTATTAAAAAATAAAATCATTATTGATTTCTTAAAAACACATAAAATCATATTATAACATCGACAAAAACAAAGAATAAAATATCACATTAAAATCAAGATGTATCTCACTGCATTGCACGAGTATATATTTTATTTTTTTTGCCGTCAATATGTAGTTTTAAAGGTATGCTTCTCAAAATAAAAACTTAAATAAACTATTTTCCAATTTAATGCATATTCTTCGATTTATAAATTGGTTGATAGATATGCTGGTTTATCGTAATCTCAAGTAACAGGAAAAACAATCATTGGTTTATAAAATTATCTATGGAGACGTGAAAATCAATAGTTTTAATAAATCTTTCACATGTCAATTAAATGATTACAATCCCATTGCTATATTGAATCATATCAATGTCATGTATAATAATCTATGGTTTATTAAATCAACACAATCAACCATAAACAAATAAAATGTTGAATCATAACGCCTACTGCTCTTTAAGCAGAAAACTTTCAAAAAACATCAGTAATTGTTGGCTTATAAGTATAAAAAAGGAGAGTTTTGTGAACAATAAATAAACCAATTGGATATAAAAAAACTCGTTAATTTGAAGAATTTGTTTGTCTTATTTGCTTAAAATTTTATGACTTTCTTGGAGTTTCTACGTGTAGGAAGAAACACTTTGAATCGGGTTCTTTTCCAAGTTTGGCTTGGAATTATTATAACAAATGCAAAAACCATGAGGAATGGCTACCGACATAAATAAAATTGTCATTGGAAGTAGGGGTGAGCAGCGGAACCGGGTACCCGGCTATAGAACCGGAACCGCCTTGGAACCGCCGGTTCCAGAACCGGAACCGATATGAGTGGTTCCGGTTCCGGTTCCTAAAATACGGAATCGATTGAGAATGGTTCCGGTTCCGGTTCTCAATTTTTGGGAACCGTTACCCGCCGGGTACCCTGTATTTTTCAATAAAAATAATAATTATTTTTTAATACCAAATTTATTATAGGTTTACATCTTAAAAGCACGTCGTCATCTTCAATCTTCATCTAAATTCTTCATATAAAATGATTCGTATTTTTTCAAATTGTGTGTTCACTTGGATTCATAATATGTAATCGTTAAACTTTGAACAATTACCATTATAGTATGTAATCGATAAACTTTAATTTGAACATTTTATATTAGTCTATTATGGTTTGTAATCGTTAATCAATATTTGTAACCATTATTCTGTATAATTTGTATTCTTGCTTATTTATTTAGTGTTTTGGCAATGTTTTATTTTTTATTTCTAAATAACAAATTTTTAATATTTTAGTAAGCGGGTAACCGGAACCGGAACCGGTTCCCGGCGGTTCCGGTTCCAAAAATTTAAGAACCGCTCTAACCGGTTCCGGTTCCGGTTCCAATATCTCAAGAACCGTCGGTTCCGGTTCCGGTTCCTGTTCCTGTCAAAAAGGGCGGGTACCCGCCTATGCTCACCCCTAATTGGAAGGCTCTACCGTGACAAATATGTTTTGCCAAGAACATCATGAATGTATAATTAAGCAACTGGATCAACCTTTAGCATTAATGTCTAAGTTGTCAAAATCTCA